CAGGAACACAGAAAATTATACTTTCTACCTTTCCATAGCAGAGGATCTATGCTTCTTTCTCAAAACTTCTGAATATTATTTCTTGGTTCTTTCCACTTTGTTGTAATCAAAGCTGGCTTTTCCCTGTACTTCCATATTATATTGTATCATAGCATATAGCATCATGTTTAAAACAGACACCTTCTTAATGCTCAGAGGCTGAGAACCCAGCTCCTCAAATTAGGAATAAAGTTTTAGCTTATTTTCCATTCAAGAAACACAAGTTGTTGTTCTTTAATTTGGTCTTTTGTAGTAATAATGTCCTACAACACAACTTCCAGTGATGTATAGTATCATAAGGAACTTGTATTAAAGAACATTCACTGACAATCCTTATAGGAATAGCTTGTCTATTAAGAGAACAGTAGAAGGCGCATCCAGTACTTACTCTGTGTACCAACAACTGGAGTGGGGCTGCAGGCTGCACACTCCAGTACCAGCAACTGGGAGACTGAGCATCCAGGGCCAGTTAGCAAGCAGACTGCATGTCTGAGGCTAGTTCTTGGGAGACCCATAGCATATAAGCGTGGCTCCCAGTGTGTGTGTGTGTGGGGGGGGTAACTGGAGGACCAGTGAGTTCGGCGCCAGTTGCTGGGTAGACCCAGCGTCTAAGGCCAGTTACTGGGATCCAGTGTGTGTGTGCATGAGTGAAGGAGTGCATGAGGTTTTGTACCTGTGAATGAGGGGGTCTGTACCAGGAACTGGAGCAGGGCTGCAGGCCCCAGGGGCTCGTATGTCCAGGCCTGTTATTGCCACCTGTGTTTGCATGAGTGTTTCTGTCTGTATTGATTTACGTGGCTCGCTGTGTGCATAAGTATATTTGTATTGTGTATGTGTTCGTGGGCCTGTTGGGGATATGCACTCAGCCTTGCTAGTGGGTGGACCCAGGAAAAGGGGGCTACAGCAGCCTCACTCCTATCGGGCTATTGGATTCAGTAACTCCAAATAAAATAGTTGTAACTTATTATTCACTTTTAGCCATCTTAGACTATTTAGGACATTAACCAACCCATTTCTACTGCACAGCACTATTTAGATGGACAGTGATACATTTTGTCAGCATTAGGAAAAATAGATTTCCTATGTTTCATCCCAACCTTATCAATAGTTTTTGTGTCACAGCAGGTCAGGATCTGTGAAGATGGGTCCAATGTTAGACTAAATGAAGAAAAGAAAAATGGGGGTAGAGGGTAGAAGGGGTTATCTTGTGGTTTTACAGTCATAAATTTACTGGATGTAGAGAAATGAAAAAAATAGAAGTCTTAAGTCTTTTTTGGTATTGCCTGCAACATCATGCATGTTGCCAGCTGGGAAGTATGGAAGCATCTATACACTAGCACAGCTCCCCCATTCATTTGTTATGAAATGTAACCCCCACTGCTGTTACAGAAGGGCCTCACTGCTGCCTTTCTCATCATAGAAGCCAAATACCAAATAGGACACGAAGACTGTGTTGCTCTTTTGCTGATAGTAAAGAAGCTAAAATAAGGCTAAATGCTAGTAAATGAATCCTTCTCCTCTCCAGGCTGAACAACCCCAACTTTCTCAGCCTGGGTTCATAAGAGAGGTGCTCCAGCCCTCTGATCATCTTCATGGCCCTCCTCTGGACTTGCTCCAACAGGTCCATGTCCTTCTTATGTTGGGGGCTCCAGAGCTGGACGCAGTACTCCAGGTAGGCCCTTATGAGAGTGAGTAGAGGGGCAGGATTACCTCCCTTGACGTGTTGGCCATACTTCTTTTGATGCAGCCCAGGACGCAGTTGGCCTTCTGAGCTGCGAGCGCACATTACTGGCTCACGTTGAGCTTCTCATCAACCAACACCCCCAGGTCCTTCTCCTCATGGCTACTCTCAGTCCATTCTTCTCCCAGCCTGTATTTGTGCTTGGGATTGCCCCAACCCATGTGCGTGACCTTGCACTTGCTGAATTTCATGAGGCTCACATGGGCCCATCTCTCGAGCCTGTCCAGGTCTTAGATCACAGAAGACGGGGAGGGAAGAGAGGAATTGTCGGAGGCTTCTTTTTCCTTGACCCTTTAAAGTGTTAAGACTTTAACACTGTTACAACAGATACGTACTGTTTTCTTACGGTTCCCCTCTCAACTTCAGACAACAGACCTCAGTAACTAAACTGAGTGGTAAGCAGAGGCTGACAGCAAAACTGAGTGCATCTGTCAATTATTTTTCACACTCCTTGACAAATGTTCTTGTTAGAACATGCCAGAGGTAGTGACCTTCCTGTTGGAGCCAGCATTTGTGTATCTGAAGCAGCATCTCCCAAGAAGTGTGTATAGTATAAATCCTTTCTGGTGGCTATGATAAAATTTTAACTTGAAAAGGACATCTAGTTTTGGGTCCCTCATCACTTGAAGCAGGTAGAACTCTAATTATGGGAGAGGAGAAAACAGATTTTGTGGGTTAAGCACCTGATCATTGTATGAATAATAGGAAGCAAAATGTATGTGTAAGGGATTTCCAAATAGGTGATTCAAAATTCTGCATAATTAAGTAAGGGGTGATGGCAAATTTCTGGCTATGTGATTACACTTCAGTCTGCTGGACTGTGAAATGTTAGGTTATATGATAGCAAGTGGCCTTAAAAAAAAGAAAAGTCATTGTCTGGGGTACTTAATAGTAAGGATTTTGCTAAATCCCAAGCCTAAAACTAGTATTTGTAGGTTCATGGGTTAGATGATGCTTAACGTCAAAAGAGATTAAATGGAAATATATTTTTGTTAAGCTTGAAAGAAAGGGAAGTAAAGAGAGTGAAGGGAAGATGCAAGGGAAGATGAGCAGTATCTTCCCTGTGGTCCTGCTATTTCAATGCTGTAGACATTACATTAGTGAAGTAGCATACTGCAACTCCAGGAGTGAGTACAGCTCTTTCAGAGGTGGGGAATCTTTCAGAAGTGTTTTTTCTGGATATAGTAGATTAGGAAATAGAAATGTTGTTCCAATAAGGAAGAGAAAGAGAGAACAAGCTCCTCAGACAATTTTTGTATGAAGGTCAGCAGTAATACTGTATTTTGAAAAAAGAACACAGCTCACTGTTCTAGGTAAGAAAAGAAAAGTGCAGTGGAAAGGTTTGAGTCAGCAGAGCTTGACTAAGAAAGGCTAAAGATAGTGCTTCAGGAAAGACAGGTCAAGAAACTAGGAGATAGTAGGGACCATGAAAAAGAACGGGACAAATTAATGAACTGAATTATTGTTATTAAATTTCCCCTGTGAATAGGACAATTTGGTGTTAATTTGTCAGATTAATAAAACTGTGGAGAAAGTGAGCAAGCAAGCAAGCTTAATGGAATAAACTGAATGGAGTAGGAAGAATGAGACAAGACCAAAGAAGAAGAGACTTCAAGTCAGATAAGTGCATCCTGGAAGAATATATACAAACCCTACAATGCAGAACTCCCAGACACTTTACTCAGTGTTCGGTGAAATGAACTGTGTGACTGACCAAGTCTTTTCCCCAGAATTAAATTGCCTACAGAATGAACTAATCAGTATGACTCCCTCTTATTCCTACAGTCTATCTCCCACTGTCATATCCAAAGGGAATGTGTATCCATGAAAAAGAAAAAGGCAGAGGGATTAGAACTGGGAAGGATGTAGAGGTATTAATAAGGAATTGGCACTCTTTTCAGTGGTTCCCAGTGACAGGACGAGGGGCAATGGGCACAAGTTGGACCATAGGAAGTTCCATTCAAATACGCTGAAAAACTTCTTTACGGTTAGGGTGACAGAGCACTGGCACAGGCTGCCCAGGGAGGTTGTGGAGTCCCCTTCTCTGGAGATTTTCAAGACCCGCCTGGATGCAGTCCTGAGTAACATGCTCTGGGCAATCCTGCTTTAGCAGGGGAGTTGGACTAGATGATCTCTAGAGGTCCCTTCCAACTCTGAAAATTATGTGAAAAGATGTGGAGGGTGGAGGGAAAGAAAGCGAGAGTGGGTCCAAACAGAAGAGACTGGGTGTTGCAATACATATCCCGATTTCTAAAAATTGTGAGGATATTGATGTCAAACGACAACACCAGACAATAAAGTGCTTTACTAATGACAGAGAATTAGGGGTTGTTTTTATGCTGTGATCCAAATCATTATTAGAAAACAATGCAGAATATTTAATAACCAAGTACTATTTAAACAGACTGATATACCTTCCTTTTGGCACAACTTTGGCTATTACTCTGTAAAAAAAATGGTATTTGAAGATTTAACATAGTTATCCCTGCACAGCAGCCCAGGACAGGTGTGAGCAGTTTTGATATTACACTGTAAGGCTGCACTCTGCCAATTCCAACTCCATCTGGAACAGACTAAAATGAATATAAGCTGTGGGGATATTTGGTAAAAAATGGCTGCATTTATCAAGCCTATAAAAAAAATTGTGATCAATCTTGTTCCCACATATAGACTTTCAGAGTGGTTATGGCAGAGCTTGGTCAAAGTGAATAGGGGAGAAATTTGGGGATAGGTGTTTTGGAGCAGAAAATCTACATTTTGGATGAGTGATACAACTGAACAGTTCTATGTAAGAAAGAAATATGGCAACAGACAGTTCCTTTAAGATTCTGGAATAAAACCAGGGAATTTTTGATGGGACCTAAATCAGTAGAATCTGGTGATGTTCACTGGGATTCTCTAGGAGAAGACAGAGAAAAAAGAGCCAGGCAACACAGCACATTTAAGAACAGATAACCAGCTGTCCATTGTGGTGCAAAAATGCATTTGTGCATGAGTGAACAGACCTACTGCAGTCTGGCTCTGGTGAAAATAAATATATAGCTGAAGAAAACCAGTTTGCAGTTGTAGACAGTGTGATATCATCTATGGTTTTCCTAATTGGCAGCATTTACACTTTCAGAAGGTAGGATCCATATATAATTTTAAGGAAAAATGCCATTTTTCCCCAAGTTAGGTGCAGGCAACCTAGTGCTGACCCTGAACTATAACACTGGATCCAGAAAGCCAAAATAGAAACCCAGATGTTAAAATGCTAGTTTTGTTGAAATGAGTGATAAAGCTTCCACTAATTTCATTACAGTCAAAATTTCACCCTCCATTTTTAGTGTCAGTCTCTTTTCTTATGCCCTAGTTAGAGTCATTAAAGTTATTTTTACCATGACATCTCTAAGCTGTCCACCATGCTGTCTGGCTATTCAGATTTCAGATGTATGTGCTGGATTCCTAGCAGACAGATGGGGAAAGAGAAAGAGTGGACAAGGAGATGGTCAAATCAGTCTGAGAAAGAAAATCAGGAAAAACTAATAATGCTGATGTGGGAGATAATTCTGTAGAGTCATCCAATGAGGGTGTAAGAAAAGATAAATAGGAAGAATCTGAATTAAAGAGGGTACATCAGAGAATGTTTTCATAGCAGGGGAAAAAATCATAAATAATAAACACACAGAACCACAAAACTCAAGCATTCATATTTCCAAACACAGACAAACAGACTTTTGGCAAGAGGAATTGTTGTTTAGCATTTAGCCCTCTTTTTTTTCCTATCTCAATTCTTTTCTGCATTGCCATGAGTTTATGCAAAGAAAAAATAGGAGGTAGTTTTAATAGGAATGATGGAGCTCATAAGATCTGTAACATTGGCACAGTTGAAGTTCCATTTGTTTCTTTTTATAGGCTAATAAACTTGGTGTTCTTTTTGGCACCAAGGATCTAGCACACTTACGTTTCCTCAAACAGAGTGAAAATGGTATTAGCAGTGCAGAATCAAGCCTTCACATTTTCAATCCTATTTTGCTCAATAGGTATGTGGGGTGTGGGATTAATTATTCTGTCTTTGTGCTCTGGATATGAGCAACATTTTGTGACAGGAACTAAGCTGACTAACTTGAAAGAAGTTAGTCAAGTAACTAACAAGAAAACATGGCCTACTATTTCTTCGCTAAATAACAAAACACATTGACTCTTGGCTTTTTGGGGAAACTTTGTAGGTTAAAGATTTTGTAGGTTATATGTTTGGGGGGTGGTCAATTTGTTTGCTTGTTTATTTTTATTTTTAAAACTGTAGGATAAAGAAGAGAGATTGAGGTGAAGTAAGCCAAGAAATTTCAGAAAAATCTTGACTCAGAAAACTATCAGAGAAGTACCACAGCTGGGAAGTTTGTGTACATCATGCTCATTTTCAAGAGCATTTTGTACGGGATGATGGGGATGATGCTTAGGTTCAAGAAGAGGAACAGAGTTCTACTCGGTAGACATTTGTTCTAGCTTTCTAACTGTACAGGAGACCACTTTCAACAAACTGATATCTTAAAGTTGACATTTATATAAATCCTCTTCTCTGCAGTTATATTGTGTCTCTCATCATTTTCAAGAGAACAAGCTAGTGAGAATGAAGGGGAGGGTTTTAGACAAAAAGAGGGAAAGAACTCCAGGGAGATATTGCACAAGGCAATACAATGAAGTACTATCAAAATGTGTGGTCTTTTTAAAGAAAAGAGTAAAAAGGAAAATTAGTTTTAATATAAATGATGGAGGAATACGAAAATAAGAAAAATAAGAAAGCAAAGGACGAAAGAAAAAATGATTCAACTCAGCAAGAGGGAAGAGCATCTAATCTGTGGGGAAGAAGGAAGAAAAACCAGAGTCTGGTTCTGTAAAGCTGTGTTTGTGGGCATCATTTCTGTGCAGCATAAACTGTAAAACCAAGGGTTTACTAATCCAGGATAGTGTTTCGGCATATCTTTTATCCACTTTGGACCTCATTAAGCTATTACCTTGTGGCACAATTGGCAGTTCAGGGGTAGCTCATTCAGGATTAACAGTCATACCTTTTGTGTATAGAAGTAACGGAGGTAGGAATAACACAGGCAAAGATAGAGGAGTGCTTGCAGAGCTTTGGAAGAAGAACATCTGGGAATACAATAGCAAGGCAGAAGGAGTAGGAAGCATAGAATGGAGACCCTGAAGTGAGCTTCTATCTAGCATAGCCAGGGTATTCAATGGAAGGGGAAAATATCTCTGAAGGTCTCAGCAGAAAAAAATACCTCAGCATCAGAGATGACATGTCAAAAAGCGCTTGAAAATATCTCTTTAAGGGAAAAGAAGTTGAGTTTTAGCAAAACAGGATGCGGTTTGACATTTACTCAGAAAAACACCTTCTGATAATGCATCAGCCTTTCTTGCCACAACACCACCCCAGCCTCTCAGGATGAGGCAGAGGGTGCAGCTCTGTTCACCATATTACAGTTGGACAGAAATAGTGACACATATGGGCCTTATGAAAGCTGGTGGGTTTTTGTTTTCATGTTATCATACAATCTTCTTGTTACTGCACTCTGCAGATGGGTTTTGCATGTGCAGCTGCTGTTTCTGTTGTGCAACATATAAAAAACAAAAGACTTGCGGGTTTGGGGGAGTTGCTGACCTGCTTTTACAAATTAAAAAAAAAATCAAAACAACAGAACCACACTTTTTCTAGGTATTTCAAAACAGCAAAGCAAGATGATAAAAATCATATACTTGTAGAAAAATTTTGATGTGAGAGGACTTTTGGAGGTCTCTCAATCCAGGTGATTTCTGCATATCTTCAAGAACAGAGATTTGACAAGCTGTTTGAAAAATCTCTTCCAGTGCTGAAGCATCTTCAAGAGGAAGTATTTTTTGTTATGTATAAGCAGAGTTTATCTTCATAGAATCACAGAAGCATAGAATGGTTTAGGTTGGAAGGGACCTTAAAGTTCATCTAGTTCCAACGGGTGGAGACACCTCCCACTAGACCAAGTTGCTCAAAGCCCCGTACAAGCTAGCCTTGAACACCTCTAAAAATGGGACATCCACAACTTCTCTGGGCAACCTGTTCCAGTGTCTCACCACCCTCTAAGTAAAGAATTTCTTCCTAATATCTGTTCTAAATCTACCTTCTTTCAGTTAAAAACCCTTACCTCAAGTTCTATCACTACACTCCCAGATAAAAAGTCCCTCTCCATCTTCCCTGTAGGCCACCTACAAGAAAGTACTGGAATGCTGCTATAATGTCTCCCCAGAGTGTTCTATTCTTCAGGTTGAACAACCGCAACTCTCTCAACCTGGCTTCATAGAAGAAGGGCTCTAGCCCTCGGATCATTTTCGTGGCCCTCCTCTGGACCCACTCCAACAGGTCCATGTCCTTCTTATGTTCGGGGCCCCAGAACTGGACGCAGTACTCCAGGGGAGCCTCACAAGAGTGAGTAGAGGGGCAGAATTACCTCCCTTGACCTGCTGGCCACTCTTCTTTTGGTGCAGCCCAGGATGTGGTTGGCTTTCTGGGCTGCGAATCAACCTTGCCAGCTCATATTGAGCTTCTCATCAACCACCACCCCCAGGCCCTTCACCTCAGGATGGCTTTCAGTCCATCTTTCCCCCAGCCTGTGGGATTGCCCCTGACCCATATCCAAGACCTTACACTTGGCCTCGCTGAACGTCATGAGGTTGGCACGGGCCCACCTCTCCACCCTGTCCAGGTCCTTCTGGATGGCATCCCTCCCCTCCAGCGTGTTCACCTTGCGCTACATGTTGCGGCTTCATCACCACCCACATGGAAGAGCAGCAGTGGGTAATAGTCTGAGGGCTGTACCAGGCTAGGAAGTTTTCTAGTGATGTCCCTAACCCAGACATCTTGCTGCAGCTTGTTCCCACTGCCTCCCACTGCACCCCTCTAAGGCTCCAACTCTGTTTAGGCAGTTGGAGTCATGCAATTAGCCATCCTTTAGACCTCTACTCTGTACGTTGAACAAATTTCCCTCAGCCTCTCCTCTTATGTTTCTGCTCCAGCCCCCTGATCATTTCTGTTGGACACTCCACTAATTGTCAATATCTCTGTTGTGGTGGGGCTGGGGCAGGGTAGGGGTGCGTATGCACAATAGAGGCAATATTCCCATTACAGCCTCAAAAGTGCTTCAGCATGCTAACTGCATTCTTGCTAATGCAACCAAAAATGTAATTAGCCTTCACTGCTGCAAGGGCTTGCTGCTTATTCATGTTCAATTGCTTCTCTGCAAAGCTGCTCCCTAGCCACCCAGCCGATATTTAAAGGACTCAGATAAAGGCTCTTTCACCTTTTCCCCAGCGGTTATGACCCGCTGATAATAATTTGATATAATATAATAATAATATTGGTTTAATATAATTCAGATTGGGATAAGAATAATCTCAGCAGGTGGATGCTGTGTCTAAGGATGGAATGTTCCCATTCTCCATCCTTTCTTTAAACCTTTCCAGAACACTCTGACTGGAAACACATTATTATTAGCAGTACTAGTATTTATTTTAGACCTAGAAAATTGTACAGGTGACTTTTCCATACCACAAGGACTTTGCTTAGTGCTTTCTTGCTTTAGGACAACTTAGGACAATTTGGTGTTTTATCATCGTGGAATGCTTACACCAAAGAGTACCTCATGCTGTGACTAATCCTCCTGCATCAATGACACTATCTGGGAGAATGGTGGTGCTGGAAAGATACTGGTAAGTTTTTTCTGTGAGACTCAAGACTCTTCACGCCAAGGCTGAATTATTCACTCAGGGAGAGATTATATAATAAAAAAAAATTACATTAACATCCTGCTTGTTCATCCCACTACATTTTTTGTCTTCAAGACATGGATGCTTTCTGGAGCAGCGTTCATCTTAGGGCTTAGATCAAAGTCAGGCAGAACTACAAGACTTTGAATGAGGAACATCACAAAGTTTCCTGGGAGAAAAAAAACCCTCAGAACTCATGCACAGAGAGCAGGAATAAACCAGATTAATATAGACTGTGTTGCTGTTTATTAAGCTGTGAGAGAGGTATAAGTATGAGGCATAAAGAGATAGAAGTGACACACATCAGATGCTTTCCTGTGTAGCCATAAGTAAACTGGATACTCAGAAAAATGTCTGAATATATGGAAATCTACACGTTATTTTTCTTGAATGTGAATTCATTGTAAGTTGCATACTACTTTGTACTATCTCTCTTTCCTCTTTATACGCTCCATACACGTGTAACTTTTCAGGACTGTGTCTATGCACTTGCAGACTATGGTAATGGCTGCCCTTTTGTTGTTTTAATCCAACCTTGGGCGTATTAGTTCAGTTTAGCTTCTCTTCTAATATCATGTTTTGTCCAGGCTCCTTCTCGTTACTGTTGACAACGTTAGTTCTCACAGATTTCTTGTGACTGGGGTAACCTTTCCCAGCACAGTGAAAAACATCATGGCTTTCACCGCTTGATAATACTCAAAGCGGAATAAGAGTGCACGTAGAATTCACTATCTCTACAGTATTTCAGACTTAGACATATGTCTATTTCAAGGAACTGTTCTGTGTCAGGTAAGAAGATGTCTCAGGTGACAAGAACAATACCTGTTCCCTTCTGAGGGAAGGTGCTGGAAAGGAAAGAAGTTTATGTAAAGAAAGCAAGTGACTTTGATGTGTTGTGTCCAAACTGCTGGCACAGAAATAGACAGCTGAATGGTTCTTCTTCACAGACAGAATATCCAGATTGAAATTTGCAATGTTTAACCGCTTAGCTTTGTATCCAGTGGGAATGTCACCCTCTTGTTCCTGATTTGCACCAATGGAATAATAGATCAGCTGCATCCCCTTCCCTGGCTGCTGCAGGTACCAGTACATATTATCGTGGTTATCATTTTGACTGCATGTCAGAGTAGCTTTCTCATCTTCTTTCAGCACAAGACTTGAGGTTTGGGTGATTTCAGCTCCTATAAGACAAAGCAAAACAAAACCACAGTAAAACAAGAAAGCTACAGTCTCCCAGCAGCAGAGCAGGTACCATGGCTCTACTAATTCCTTACTTGCTCCAAAGAAGTACACGACCACCCACCAAGCTCTCCACATCCTCATTTCTGCCTCAGCCCTCTGTAAGCATGTCCCTTTAAGGGACTTATATAGGTCCCTTTCGCACGGTTCCCTTAAACCAATAGCAGAGATCTCTGCATCGGCTGCATCTATGCTGAAAACCAAGCTCCTTCCTGCAACAGATTTCAAGCAAACACTTTGTTTGAAGTGTATCTGTTGAAAACACAGAGAAAGTTTCAAACTGACTCAGGTGGAAGTTTTCCTTATTCTATCAGACAGGATATTGTCATATATGACAATTGTCTTTTTATTTATCCTTGTATATCGTATTTTACCTTTTGATATTTTGTTTCCAGAATAAAGCAGAAAATGTTTCATGTAACCATGCAAAGCGGTTTTGGGTTTTTTTTTGTGCAGTTGACTGCTGGCATTTTTCTTTCTGGAAAAACAGCAAATACAATACACATGCTCAGACCTTAATTATTTTTCTTCCTTCTCCACCTGTCAGAACCAGCATGCATGATCTTGTTTTGGCAAGAGCTTATATGGGAGCCTCTTGTAGCCTTAGCACACACCAAAAGTGAAGGAAACTGGGGTTGCTCCTGAAGCAATCGTCTAAAAACTTCTTTCCCCTTAGTTGTCCCAGCAGTATCTGCATTAATTACAAACCCAATTTCCAGGATTCAAAGTGATACCACTGTCTCTGACACAATCTTTTAACCTGTGTTAAAAACACTGATCACTGTCCTACCATGGTATTTTGGATGCACCGTGGGAATCATCACAGCAGTCATATTTGCCATCTATACCTTCAAAGGAGACCCCAGAGACCAGTGCCAAAGTCAAACAATCCGAGATTCGTGCTACTGAAACTATTCTTTCTTATTTAAGAGAAAGGATACCATCTGGTGGAATGAAGGGTGTTTACAGTGATCCTTAGGGGATGAAATTCCTACAGTTCTCTGATTTTGCATTGGCAGAACTGCAAGGAAAGGGGACTGTAACTAATGCACCCGAGATCCACATGTCTATCATTAAACTGGTGACTGTGAAATGCTGAATTGAAAGTGCTGTCCCAGAAACACACAAGTTCTTTATCCGTAGGAGAAAGATCTCAGAGCTGGTACTGAGAATGGGATTTCACAAAGCCAACACAATGCAGCTGAGGGAGGAAACTAGTGTATGAAGTGGCTGATGAGGTACCTAACTTCATCTGCTGTGAAAGTTGTCCTAAGATTCAGGTAAATGGGCTGGAAAGAAACCTCCTTTCACACAGAACAACACTTAGAGTTTTCCTCCAGGAAAACTCTGAGGACAGAGGAATGATCTACAGCAATAGGTAAAACGTTCAGGGAGAATATCTAAATTCAAATCCCATATTGTTTCAAGCCAGGATCTGAATGCAGACAAACCAACTCTCTGCTGTACTGTGTTGTAGGGCTACACAAATTGATTAATGGCAATTTGTTTTCTGCTGTAGACAAAATAAAAATTTGTACCCTAGACTTTTTCACGGGACAGTGTGAAAATGTTTAGGCAGTTGGAGTCATGCAATTAGCCATCCTTTAGACCTCTACTCTGTACGTTGAACAAAGTTCCCTCAGCCTCTCCTCTTATGCTTCTGCTCCAGCCCCTTGATCACCTTAGTGACCCTCTGTTGGATGCTCCACTGATTGTCAATATCTTTGTTGTGGTGGGGCTGGGGCAGGGTAGGGGTGCGTATGCACAATAGAGGCAATATTCCCATTACAGCCTCAAAAGTGCTTCAGCATGCTAACTGCATTCTTGCTAATGCAACCAAAAATGTAATTAGCCTTCACTGCTGCAAGGGCTTGCTGCTTATTCATGTTCAATTGCTTCTCTGCAAAGCTGCTCCCTAGCCACCCAGCCGATATTTAAAGGACTCAGATAAAGGCTCTTTCACCTTTTCCCCAGCGGTTATGACCCGCTGATAATAATTTGATATAATATAATAATAATATTGGTTTAATATAATTCAGATTGGGATAAGAATAATCTCAGCAGGTGGATGCTGTGTCTAAGGATGGAATGTTCCCATTCTCCATCCTTTCTTTAAACCTTTCCAGAACACTCTGACTGGAAACACATTATTATTAGCAGTACTAGTATTTATTTTAGACCTAGAAAATTGTACAGGTGAATATCTAAATTCAAATCCCATATTGTTTCAAGCCAGGATCTGAATGCAGACAAACCAACTCTCTGCCGTACTGTGTTGTAGGGCTACACAAATTGATTAATGGCAATTTGTTTTCTGCTGTAGACAAAATAAAAATTTGTACCCTAGACTTTTTCACGGGACAGTGTGAAAATGTTTAGGCAGTTGGAGTCATGCAATTAGCCATCCTTTAGACCTCTACTCTGTACGTTGAACAAAGTTCCCTCAGCCTCTCCTCTTATGCTTCTGCTCCAGCCCCTTGATCACCTTAGTGACCCTCTGTTGGATGCTCCACTGATTGTCAATATCTCTGTTGTGGTGGGGCTGGGGCAGGGTAGGGGTGCGTATGCACAATAGAGGCAATATTCCCATTACAGCCTCAAAAGTGCTTCAGCATGCTAACTGCATTCTTGCTAATGCAACCAAAAATGTAATTAGCCTTCACTGCTGCAAGGGCTTGCTGCTTATTCATGTTCAATTGCTTCTCTGCAAAGCTGCTCCCTAGCCACCCAGCCGATATTTAAAGGACTCAGATAAAGGCTCTTTCACCTTTTCCCCAGCGGTTATGACCCGCTGATAATAATTTGATATAATATAATAATAATATTGGTTTAATATAATTCAGATTGGGATAAGAATAATCTCAGCAGGTGGATGCTGTGTCTAAGGATGGAATGTTCCCATTCTCCATCCTTTCTTTAAACCTTTCCAGAACACTCTGACTGGAAACACATTATTATTAGCAGTACTAGTATTTATTTTAGACCTAGAAAATTGTACAGGTGACTTTTCCATACCACAAGGACTTTGCTTAGTGCTTTCTTGCTTTAGGACAACTTAGGACAATTTGGTGTTTTATCATCGTGGAATGCTTACACCAAAGAGTACCTCATGCTGTGACTAATCCTCCTGCATCAATGACACTATCTGGGAGAATGGTGGTGCTGGAAAGATACTGGTAAGTTTTTTCTGTGAGACTCAAGACTCTTCACACCAAGGCTGAATTATTCACTCAGGGAGAGATTATATAATAAAAAAAAATTACATTAACATCCTGCTTGTTCATCCCACTACATTTTTTGTCTTCAAGACATGGATGCTTTCTGGAGCAGCGTTCATCTTAGGGCTTAGATCAAAGTCAGGCAGAACTACAAGACTTTGAATGAGGAACATCACAAAGTTTCCTGGGAGAAAAAAAACCCTCAGAACTCATGCACAGAGAGCAGGAATAAACCAGATTAATATAGACTGTGTTGCTGTTTATTAAGCTGTGAGAGAGGTATAAGTATGAGGCATAAAGAGATAGAAGTGACACACATCAGATGAAGAGTACCTCATGCTATGAGTAATCCTTCTGCATCAATGACACTATCTGGGAGAATGATATCTCCACACTACCTCCAATCTTCAAAAACGGGAAGAAGGAGGACCCCTGGTTAGTCTCACCTCTTGCCCTGGGCAGGTAATGGAGCAACTCATTCTGGATGTCATCTCCAAACTCGTTAAGGTACAGGAAGTTATTGGAAGTGGTCAACACGGATTTAGCAAGGGTAAATCATGCTTGACCAATCTGATAGCCTTCTATGATGTTATAACTGGTTGCCTGGATGAGGGGTGAGCCGTAGATGTCATCTACCTTGACTTCAGCACGGCTTTTGATACTGTCTCCCAGAACATCCTCATTAGGAAGCTTAGGAAGTGTGGGCTAGATGAGGTGACAGCGAGGTGGATTGAGAGCTGGCTGTGTGAGAGAACTCAGAGGGTTGTGATTAATGGAGCAGTGTCAAGTTGGAGGCCTGTAACCAGTGGTATTCCCCAGGGGTCAATACTCAGTCCAATCTTGTTTAATATATTCATCAATGATCTGGATGAGGGGACAGAGGGTATCCTCAGCAAGTTCGCTGATGATACCAAACTGGGAGGGGTGGCTAACACTCCAGAGGGCCATGCTGCCATCCAGCGTGACCTGGAGAGGCTGGAGAGCTGGGCAGAGAAGAACCTAATGAGGTTCAAAAAGAACAAGGGCAGGGTCCTGCACCTGGGGAGGAAGAATGCTAAGCACCAGTATAGGTTAGGGGTGGACCTGCTGGGAAGCAGTTCTGAGGAGAAGGATCTGGGGGTCCTGGTAGATAGTAAATGAACAAGCAATGTGCCCTGGTGGCCAAAAAGGCCAATGGAATCCTGGGCTGCATTGGGAAGAGTGTGGCCAGTAGGTCGAGGGAGGTCATTCTCTCCCTCTAGTCTGCACTTGTGAGGCCACAACTGGAATGCTGTGTCCGGTTCTGGGGTCCCCAGTTCAAGAGAGACAGGGAACTGCTGGAGAAAGTCCGGCGTAGGGGAACTAAGATGACTGAGGTATAGGAGCATATCCTTTATGAGGAAAGGTTGAGAGAGCTGGGACTCTTTAGCCTGGAGAAGAGAAGGCTGAGGGGAGACCTTGTTATTGCTTATAAGTATCTAAAGGGTGGGTTGAAGGAGAATGGAGCCAGATTCTTCTCGGTGGTTCCCAGTGACAGGACAAGGGGCAATGGGCACAAGTTGGACCATAGGAAGTTCTGTTCAAATACAGGGAAAAACTTCTTTACGGTTAGGGTGACAGAGCACTGGCACAGGCTGCCCAGGGAGGTTGTGGAGTCCCCTTCTCTGGAGATTTTCAAGACCCGCCTGGATGCAGTCCTGAGTAATGTGCTCTAGGCAATCCTGCTTTAGCAGGGGAGTTGGACTAGATGACATCTAGAGGTCCCTTCCAACTCTGAAAATTCTATGATTCCGTGATTCCGTGATAAAGTGACATAATTCAGATTGTGATAAGAATAATCTCAGAAGGTGGATGCTGTGTCTAAGTATGGAATGTTCCCATTCTCCA